TACCTCACCTTTGTGAACCTTGGAAGCCTCTCAGAAAGATGCAGCTTGCAAAGACAACCTATACGATTTGTTTGCTCCCAGTAATTCTGCAGCTGACTTCACTGGGATTCTACCTTTACTCACTTAAGAAATGTGAAGCACTTTGTTCCATGCGTTGTGCTGGCAAATGCAATAATGAGCAAGACAAAGTTATTCTCTTTGTGAAACGTTCACCATTTCCCGATGGGGACAATGCCAAGCAGTGTAACAGAGGCATGTACTGGGTCTTAGGGGAACATTTGTTGCTGATTGCAGCTGAGTCAGAACTGACTCATGGCTGACCCTGCAGTATGTTTTCAGAAGCTGTAAATCACGCAGGAGGAAATCACCCATCTTTCTGCCAAGAAGCAGCTGGTGAATTCAGACTGCTTGGCCCGGGGTTAGCAGCCCAATTCCTGGGCCACTAGAGCTCTCTATGGGTACATTAGGGGGAAGGAAGGAACTGGCAGGGATGACTTTCTAGAATGAAGAAACTGAAGCAGCACTCAGGGCTCAGCTGAGTCTCATCATCAGGTGCCACTGAGTCACTTCCGATGCATGAAGATCTCCTGGTGTCAGCTTAACACTGTGTCCCAGAGAGTATTCAAGGCTGATTCTTCACAAGTGGACCAATCAAGCCTCTTTTTCTGGGACACTGGTAGGTACACACAACCTCCAATCCCTCAGTTACTGGCCCAGTGTGCTAAACATCTGTACCTCCCTGAGTCTAGCTCACAGCCACTACCAAGAAGAAAACTTTTCCCTGGATCCATGGCCATGGATAAAGCACTAGCTTAGTTACCTAGTGCTGCTATAACAGAGACACCACAAGTGGATGACTTTAACGAAAGCTATTCTCTTACAGTTTAGGAGACTAGAAGTTCAATTTCAGGATACAAGCTCTCAAGGAAGGCCTCTTCTCTGTCAGTTGTAGAGGCAAGAGCTTGCTTTCTTTTAGTGTCTATAGGTCTGGTGTTCCCTGGAGACTTCCATGTCTTCTGGCCTTCAACAATGTCAAGGAGTTTCATTGTGCAGGAGGCAGGCCCAAAAAGGATGCACTCCACTCCGAGTGATTATTTCTTAATGGTGCTAAGGGTCACCCCTTTGAGGTCATTTCCTTCTTTTTTATCTCAAGTGGGGAAAGGTATATTAAAGGCTATATTACAGGGAAACTTTCGTAATGTAATGTGGGATTAGGGCTATAATGGGATTGTTATTGTTGATTGCCTTCAGTTAAGCACAACTCATTGCAACCCTATGAATAAAGATTAGGGAGTATTATAGTCTACTCTTAATCCTCCTACAAATATTTGGTTTATCAAATCCATTATATAGCTTCCAAATTGTATCATTATATACTTTGTATTTTTGGTGGGTACATAATTCAATCCATGGCAAGCACTATCATCTCTTATGTTGATGGAAAAAATATTATGATTTTTTTAAAGGCAGAGGTACACCTTCAGCTTTCACCCAAGGGGAAACGTAATGCCTGAATAGATTGGCTCCTGTCTCTAGTCTCTCCACCTACATGAGCAAAGGGAACCCAGCTAAGGACCCACACAGGGAAACACTGTGCATAGAAAGAATAGTGAGTCACACTATTTTCTATCGTCAAACACATGGGTGTTTGTGCCTTTCTATGACACAGATTTTTACTACTGGGTGAAAGGATAGGACTTGGAATATTATCTTTCTTACCACTTTGATTCCATCTCCCTCTCTAAATTTGAATGGAGTGGGGCAACAAGGCCCCTGATACATTTCCTAAGCTATACAGAATTAACAAGTTTTAGTAGGAAAATCGTGTGCACTGAAGAGCAGAGTTTATGAGAACCCTCTATTTTCTGTACATGTGCTGTTAGGGACCTCTCCAGAGTATTGAAAAGCAACGATGTCAGTCTAGAAACTAAGGTGCACCTGATCCAGACCGCAGTCTTTGTAATTACTTGCTATGCATCAGAGAGCTGGACAATGACTAAGGATGACAGAAGAATTGATGCCTTTGAGCTGTGGTGCTGGATAGGACTTGAACACACCATGGACCACTAAGAAAACAAACAGGCCTGTGTTGGAGAGGGTGAAACCAAGTTTCTCCTTGGAGGCTAGGATTTGGAAGCTCTGTCTCACATACTTTGGGCACATGGCCAAGAGAGATCAGACTGTGGAAAAGGACATCACACTTGGAAGGATGGAGGGACAGTGCAGGAGAGAAAGACCCTGGATGACATGGAATGATACAGTGACTGAGGCAGTGGGGGTTGGTGTGTTAGAATTAGTGAGACTGGCTCAGGATAGGGCAGGGTTCAGAGCTGCTATACATAAGGTTGCTATGGGTCACAAGCGACTCAATGGCACATAACAACAATAAACAACTATTTTCTGTAAAACATCATGAAAATGGAAATCTTTAAGATGAGATTCACTACATTTTGAGATATTGACAACATGGGGTTGCCAACCTATTCAAAATTACAGTGCTTTAGCACCCAAATATGAAACTGGAAAGATTATCCTAAATACCATGTTACAGATCCAAGTAAATTATCTATGGTAATCTTTCATTCTTTCAAAGGTCTGACATCACTAGAGTGTGCAGGCTACCGAACCTGACCAAGCTAACTTCTGGTGGCATGCTGTTTTTATTGGGTGCCATCAAGTCAAGATGATTCAAAGCAACTCTATGAACAACAGATCTGAACCCTGTCCAGCCCTGTGCCGTCTTCACAATCTGACACACTTGAGCCCATTGCTGCAGTCAATTCACCATGTGAAGGTCTTCTCTCTTTTGTCATCCCTTCACCTTTCCAAGCTTGATGTCCCTCACCAAGGAACAGCTTCTCTAGCAACATGCTTAAAGTAGGTGGGATGAAGCTTTATCATTTTTGCCTCAAAGGCATTTTTTTCCAAGACATATCTGTTCTTTTGCCATTCTATGAAATATTCAGTACTCTTTTCCAAGACTACAGTTCAAAGCATTGATTCTTCTCTCATTCTTATTCATTGTCCAGATTTCAGCAGCATACCCAGAGACTGAAACGATCATTACCTGAAACAGGTGCACCTTACTTCTCAAACTGACATCACTGCTTCTCAACCATTTGGAGAGGTTGCTAACTGCAGATTTTGCCAAACTCCTGATATCTCCTGACTGCTGGTATCAAGGGTATTGTGAACCCAAGTAAGGTGGAGTCATTGAACATTTCAATCTTTTCTCTATCATGAAATTGCCTATAGGTCTAGTGGTGAGAATGTCATTTTCTTGACATTGAGATATAATCCATATTGAAGGCTACAGTCCTTGATCTTCTGCAGCAAGTGCTTTGAGTTCTTACTTTCAGCAAACAGGGTTGTGCCATCTGCATATAAAAGTTATTGGTGCATCTTCCTTAAATCCTGATGCCACATTCTTCACAGAGTCTAGTTTCTCAAATAATTTGCTCAGCAGACAGGATAAATAGGGATGGAGAAAGGATACAATCCTGATGCATACCTTTCTTGATATTAAACCATGTAGTGTTCCCTTGCTCTGTTCAAACAACAGCCTCTTGGTCTAATTAAAGGTTTTATATAAGCATAATTAAATGTTCAAGGAATCTCATTCTTGTCAAAGTTAACCATAATGTGTTATGATCCACAGAGTTAAAAGCCTTTGCATAGTAAAATTTAAAAAACACACCAACAAACAAAAAAACCAAAACCAAAACCATAACAAAAAAACAACAACCCACAAACAGTCATTCTCCTGGTATTTTCTCCCTTCAGCCAGGATCCATCTGACAGCAGTGATCTCCCTGCCACAGACTCTTCTAAATCCAGATTCTGGCAGTTCTGTCAGTGTTAGTCAATGCTGAATGATCTTCAACAGCAGTTGGCTTGCATTTGAAACAATTTCTATTGTTTAGATTGTGGTACTGGAAAAGAGTACAAAGACCACCAAAAGAACAAACAAATAGATGTCTTGGATAATGTGCAACCAGGACACTCCTTAGAGACAAGGATGGTGAAACTTCATCTCATACACTCTGATAATGTTGATAGGAGGGGCCAACTCTTGGTAAAAGATACCATGCTTGGAAAGGTGGAGGGTTTGCAAAACAGAGGAATACTTTCAACAAGGTGGACTGACATGGTGACTGTGACAATGGACTCCAGTGCATCAGTGATGATGAGGATGGTACAGGACACAGCAGGTTTGTGGTTGACTTAACCACCTACCAACACTATAGCATCTAACTACAATACAACATAGAGGCTTTTCTTAATCCAGTCACATATATATTTTTACGACTATATTTTTAAAATTCCATGTGAGAAGTTTTAGCACTATGCAGTGATGGAAGCCCAGGACTTAAAATATTTTACTTTTTCTGAATTAAATTGTATGAGTAGTGGAGATGTTCAATAAACAACAGTAAGTTTTGATTGTAGGAAAATCTAAAAATAGACAAGATTGGTCTTTTATTAGACCCAGTATGGAGAAAAAGAGAGCAATGTAGTAATATGAGAAGTAATTAAAGTACTTAAAATGTTTTGAAAATAAACTGTGTTATAAATAATCATTATAAATAACCTAGAAATATTTAATCTTAAGTATCAAAGGCTGACCTCCAAATTGATTTAATAGCTGTCTTCAAAGATATGAATAGGTTCACTGGGCAACTACTTGATTGGTTCTTTTCTGTCTATTGAGAGCCAAACAAAACAAAGTGGATTTAATAATCAGTGAGGTAAATTTAGATTAAACATAAATAACACTGACACTAACTGCCATCAAAGACTGGAATAAACTTATCTGGGATATTTGTGCAAGCTGTTTCCTTGGCAATCATTAAGAATAGAAAATACAAAGCGCTTCGGTCTAAATCCATTACTTGGCTGCTAGGTGGGAGATCAAGGGCACCGAGGTGGGAGTTCGAGCCCGTGCCCGGGGGTGGGGGGTGGGGGTGGAGTCTGCGCATGCGCAATGACCTGTCACCCACCTCGATATCCCGATTAAGCTGTTTCACGATGGCAGTTATGTTCCTGATGTGCTCCTCCAAAAAGAGCCTGGCCAAGCGGTCGCCTCCCCCTTTGTTTTGCATCTTCTGCAAACTGTTGACGATGTCGTCTTTAATCCGGAAGGCGTGCTCCACCAGGGCAGCGGTGGTTTTCTCGTGGCAGAGGATCCTATCTTCCAATTGCTCCACTAGACTTACGGATGAATAGGGCGCCATGGTCAGAGACTGGCTGTGGCGGGGCATGGTGCGAACTCGCCTGCGGAAGGAAGGCACACTGAGAGAGGTGCTCACCGAGGGAGGGAGAAAACACAGCTAATCGATCCCTGCATGCTAACTGGGTTTCCGCCCCAGGAGAGTAACCAGACAACATCTGTAAATCACACCCCAGAAGAGTGCAGATCCTGGCCTCCATGTCCCAGTAAATTTATGCCCTCTTTCTTCTCCCGTCTCCAAAGCAGTGTTTACAAACTCAAATGCCTACATGGGTCAGGCATGTGACATAAATAAGTGAAGCAAATATCGTTGTTGTTGTTGTTGTGTGCTGTTGAGTCTGAACCAAGCAACAGCTGACTCTCAAGTGGGTTTACAGAGGCAGTCAATCCCAAGAGAGGAGACCATGCATCTTTTTCCAGGGGAGCAGCTGGTGAATTTGAACTATGGACTTTGAGTTGGCAGCAAAGGTCCTTAGCACTAGGCCATCCCAGTGGTGGGGAGTCTGCAGAGCTGGGAGAGAGATGCTCCCTGCCAACTCAACTCAATTCAACTCATTGCTGTTGAGTTGGAACCAGACTCAAAACTGACCCCAAGTGGGTTTTCAGAGACTATAGAGTGATTAAGAGGAAACTCCCATTTCTCACCTTCAAATCTGCTGGTGGATTCAAACCCCCAGAGAAGTGCTACCTTTGGGTTAGCTGCGCAACTCCCTATGGACTCTACCACCAGGGAGGGAACCATGATTCAACTCTATCCAAGCCTGACCATCTGAAAGGGAAGGTCCATTTCTCCAGATCTTTCTGATATTTCAGGAAAAGCTGGGAAAGCCAGACTGGTGTCTGAAGATGCCTGATTTTAAATGTTGAAAATGCATTTAATATATTTAAGATCATGCAGGGCTAGCAATGTACTTCTGTGAGAGTTTCAACTTACAGACTCCCAATAAACAACTTCTGAATAAAAAGGTTAATAGAGATTACTGGTTTCTAGTTATACTTTACTGTTACGGTAAATACAAATCCACTGTGGGGCTACTATGAAATCACCACCATTCAGGCTCACTGAGTGGTCGACAGCATCTCACAAATTGGAAGCTGACAGAGGAGATACAATACTTCTTTTGCCCTTGAACAAAACCATTCCTGAATAATGTAACAGCCACTGAGGCATCACTTATAATCATTATCACATTTACTAGCAGGCCTCAAGAGATTGGTGGAAAGAAAAAGTATACCTTAGATGCATATTTTCCATATGTTATACCTTTCCTTGGTGACAAGAGAAGGAAATACAGTGCTCCGTTGGGCCATTTTCTTCTTAATAATTCACATCTGTTAACAAAATAAGCATTAAGTTATTTAATAGTTTATATCTAGAATTTAAATACCTCAAAAACTAGTTATTAAGATACTAATGGGATAGTAAATTATGTTGGCACACTGATATTATTAAATGTCTCTTATATATTAAATAAACAACAAATGTTTCCAAATTAGAGGAAAAGAATAGAGCAAAATACAAATGCTTCTGAAATTTATATTGCCAAGACCTAGACAAATCAGTTAGGATTCTAAAATGGAATTTCCTTAAGTTTCTTCACTCCTACATCTCAAGCTTGATAAATCAGCAAGTTGGTTTCTTAAGCAAGTTCATTCAGTCTTGTACTATTCTTAAGTTTTTTAAAGAAAACAACTTTAAGTAAGTATGGTGACAACAAATTTAGTAGATTCCACAGCAAATTAAGAGCACTTGTTTCTAGATTAATCTCAAACAAAACAATACATAATGACTGTGATCTGATTTGAGGAAAGCTATTTATTCTCTGAGAGGATGAGAGTGATAGGCTCATTAAAATGTTAAATCTTTATTATTACAGATATAATCATTCATATTACATCTTGCATCTGAAGAACACCTGATAATCACAAGTGATTAGGAATCTGAACAAAACCACAGGTTTTAAAAATATTTTATTATAGGTTTCTCCTCATTATTGTTAATTGCCTTAAAATAATGAATGCCTAGTAACTGTGATCTGATTGAATAATTAGTTCTCATTTACATGCTATCTTCAGAATGTGTTTCTGATTGAAACCATTGTTTTGGCATCATCTCCCCAGTGATTTATTTTTAGAGTTTCAAAATGTGAACATTTCACTTTCCTAGACAAAAAACTTCGAATTTCAAACAAATATCACATTTAAAAAAAGGAAAAAAAAGTCATGCCAAAAAAATAAGCTATGATGCCCAAGGAGTTCTTAAGTTTTCTAAGTTAACAATTCTAGCCATTTTGAGGTGGGGGGGGGGATTAAGCTAACGAGGAAATAGTATTCTTTATAATTATAAAATATCAAACCTTTAAGTTGCAAGATATCTTAGTTGAGATATTAATATACAAAACAGCTCAAATTATAAAACACAAGTTCTTAACCAAAACTAACAGCTCGATGGTCCAAATCTACCCATACTTGCCTTGGAAGAAAAGCCCAGCAGATCTACTTCCAAAAATGTCATAGCTTGAAAACTCTACAGAGCATAGTTCTACTCTACTAGCATGGGGTCACTATGAGTCAGAGTTGACTGGACAAGAATTTCTTTATTTTGTCCATTTTCATTAATTTTGCTGTTGTTTTTTGAAACGGAAGACCAACACAGACCAAGAAGCAAGTATTCAAAAAGAATGAGGAGACATGGCATCAGGGAAGGTATGCATCTTTTCACCATACTGAATCTATATATTGAGTAAATATACACGCCTACATATGAAATACAAATATATATGACGAATGTGGCATCAGGATGGCAGTAACATTCACCAACAACCTGCAGATGACACAGCCTTGCTTGCTGAAAGTGAAGAGAACCTGAAGCACTTACTAAAGAAAATCAAAGGCTATTAGCATTCAATGTGGATTACATCTCAATATCAAGAAAACAGTCCTCACCACTGGATCATCAGTCAATGAATGTCCTGACAGATGGAGAAAAGACCAACTGTCAACAGTTTCATTTTACATGGTTCCATAATCAAGACTCCTAGTAGCAGCAGTAGAGAAATTAAAAAAAACCATGTGGCCTTGGGAAAATCTGCTGCCAAAGACCTCGTTAAAGTGCTGAAGAGCAAGGATGACAGTTTAAAGACTAACTAGCCTCATAAGATCAGATATTGCACAAGACCATTATTGTAAACATAGAAGGATAACTGAGCAAGATGTGTATAAATGTTCAAAAGGGGAAGGAGAAAGGGAGAAGGGGTGGAAAGGGAGGAAGGAGGGAAACCCGTAGGACAGCAGGGGTTAGTGGGCAGATTGTGGGAGGTGGTGAAGGAATAGAAAAGATTCAATGGGGACTTGAAAAGATGGGCTAATGATACACATGGATCATAAATTATGTCAAATACAATGTATATGAATGATTGTATAAAGCACAATGCACATGAATGAAGCATAATGTAAATTAAAATTTGCATAAAACACAATGCACATAAAAAACCCCAATGCACATGCATGGAACACTATATGAGTAACTGTATGCAAACCAATAAAAGAATAAGGGGAAAAAGATTAAGGTGTGCCTGACCCAGCTATGGCATTTTCAAAAGGTTCATATGCATGCAATAGCTGAACAATGAGTAAGGCTGACAGCAGAATAAATGTCTTTGAAATGTGGTGCTGATGAAGAGTACTGAATATCCATGGACTGTCAAAAGAACAAACAAATATCACTTGGTCTAAGTGCAGTTAGGATATTCTTTCAAGGCAAGGATGGTGAGACTTTATCTCATACTTAGAGCATGTTATGAAGAGGTGGTGGTGGTTGTTAGATGCAATACAAGTGCAGTAGTCAGCTTTTCTGAAACACTCAGTAACGCCTGTGAATTAATGGAGACATGGAATCCTCTTCTCTGAGGGTCACTGCATTCATCTAGAAGTATCTGGTTTGAGCTACAGATACCCAACAACATTAGCTTTCTGAACAAGGAATCAATATGCCACTAACTGGGATCATTTTCAGTAACAAAATCTTCCTATTATCATGCCCCTATGCACTCTTCATGATGGGAAATTTCATATGACATGAGTTCACAACACTCACATTGGTGTTTCTTCAAAAATATGCTTTTTTTATGAAGCTGTGAATATTTGCTTGCCTGTCCCCTTGGTTTGCTATTATGAACAGCAACAAGAAGTACCATTTGAAAATTCTGTGCCAGAAGAATATGATCTGTGGTACAGATCAATACAGCTAAAAATAAATAGGACACTGGATTACAGCATTTCTGAAAGTCACATCCAAATCTTCCCATTGTTGCTTACAGCTTGCCTGCCTCAGATTATCATGGCGAGAACATTTATGAATCTTATCTCTGAAATCAAGCATTTAGATCAAACTCATTAGGCAGGTCTCAGGTGTAGGCTTTTTGCTTGTGCCATTTTAAATTAACCAATCATTAGTTTATGATATTTTTTAAAATATGAAGAAATCTGAGGGAAAAAACTGCTAGGCAAAGTTAGGAGTAAAGAAATGAAATAAGAAAAAGTGAAATAATAACATATATTATATGAGTAGCCATTCCTCAGAGAAGGACATTCTTGAAGGGTCAGCAAAGGAGAGGAAGATCAGGATGAGATAGATTGAAACAGAGACTATGGCCATGGTGTCAGGTGTGTAAGAGATGGTGAAGCTGGCTCAGGATAGGGCAAGGTTCAGAGCCATTGTTCACAGAGTCATTATGAGTCATAGTCAACTCAACAGTACATAACATACACAATAGATCATATTCTATGGAAATGCATATGCAATATACCAATAGAATCTAGGGGTTCAAACAGGGATAAAAGAAAATACTGTTCTGGTGGACTTGTGGTAAGAAGGTGAGCTGCAATCCCAAAGGCACCAGGTTCAAGGGCACCAGCTGCTCCACAGGAGAAGGATGGGCAATTTCCTTAAGTATGATTAACTGCCTCTGAAAGCCCACTGGAGGGTCAGCTATGGGTCAGTTCCAACTTAGTACAAAACAACAACAACAATTCTAAGATACTATAAAGAAGGAAGAAGTAAAAAGAGTAAACTCAAATACAGAGTATATAGTATTTTAATGACAAAAGGAAACATTAATAGAAACCAATTATCATATTTGTAGAGAGGAAGGCCCTGGATGAGACAGAATGACTCAGTTACTGGGGTAATGATATAGCGGCGGAGACTCAGTGACTGGGGTGTTGGGGGTAGCTGTGCTGGAGATAATGAAGTTGGCTCAAGACAGAACATGGTTCAGAGCTGTTGTACAGAGGGCTGCTATGAGTCACAAGCTACTTGACAGCACATAACAACAACAACAACAACAATAATATTTGTATAAGTGATGTGACATTGAGAGAAGAAATACCTATCATATAATTTTAATGTAAATGATACACAAACTTAATAAATTAAAATAACAATTTTACTAAAAAATTAATACCAATCATATCAAGATTACGTTTTTCAGTTTGCCAGTAAAATATAGTTCTGATATGTTCTTCTGAGTGTCAGAATAGAAGAAATAGTCAAAGCATTTATGAATAAGTGGTTGTAATTGGGTAGTAGAAAAAAAAGCCAATTTCCTTGTAGTTAAAAATAGAGAGGAGAGTGGGAATAGTTGCAGATGTGTCAGGAGAGACAGTGGGAGCTTTTCTCTGGTTCATCTCCAAGGCTATGCTCAGTCGGGACTTTGGCCTTCATCATAGGGGAAGTGGCTTAGTTACCTACTGCAGCTATTACAGAAATACCACACGTGGACGTCTTTAACAGAAATATATGATCTCCATGTTTAGGAGGTTGGAAGTCTGATGAGGGTGCCAGCTTTAGAAGGCTTTCTCTGTTGGCTCTAGTTGTTGTTAGGTATCATCAGGTCAACTATGGCTCACAGCAAGCCTATGAACAATGGATCTGAACACTGTCCGATCCTGTGACATTTCCACCATGTCCAACATACTTGAGGCCACTGTTAAAAATCTTCTTTTTCGCTGACCCTGCACCTTTCCAAGCATGATGTCTTTTCCACGGACTGGTCCCTCCTAACAACATGCCCAAAGTACGTGAGATAAAGTTGTGCCATCTTTACTTCTATGGAAAATCTGAGCACACTTTCTCCAAGACGTATTTGTTTGTTCTTTTGGCAATATGTGGGATAGTTAATAGTCTTCTCCAACACCACAACTCAAAGGCACTGATTCTTCTTCTGTCATCCTTACTCATTGTCCAACTTTCAG